AAACAAAAGATTGTGAAGATTTGTAATATGCGTGCGTAATAGGATCTGTGATGATGAGCAGCATTGATTGCCCTCCGAGGAGGGGATTAACTGCTCATAAACCATACCTTCGCTACCCCATCCTGCTCCTCTTCCTTGACATGGTAATCATTCAATTATGTAAACAAAAGATTGTGAAGATTTGTAATATGCGTGCGTAATAGGATCTGTGATGATGAGCAGCATTGATTGCCCTCCGAGGAGGGGATTTACTGCTCATAAACCATACCTTCGCTACCCCATCCTGCTCCTCCCATCCGTCGAAGCGTAAACCATTCAACAACACACACAGCCGGGGGGGAATACACATCAAGCAGTCTGGAAAACAAACATCCTACACGGTATAGCAATCATCCATCACATACCAGGAAGACAGCGGAAACCCTAACCAATCCCCCTACCACCTGAGGAACTACCACCACCCCTTCCTGAGTGGAATTGCAGACCGGGCAAGTCCACACACCACGAACTACCCCACGCCCATCCGCTGCCAAACAGCTGTTCTGAACGCCCCACTGCATCCGCGGTAATCTCCATATCCTCCTTCACCTCATCGCCATATCCATGGCTATCGTTGCTGTGAATATTATCGGCGCTATCATTGTCAGCGACGCCGGCAATCCCAGTAGCACCGTTATTGTCGTCGATCTCTTTCTTGTCGAATTTATGTCCACAGTTATCGTTCGTTGCCTCAAAAAAATTGTAATTGATATCTTCGATACTATTGATATCTTCAAACTGATTGTTGTCGTTGTTGTTGTTTTTGTTGGCATCATCGTTGGTGTTATTACCATCCCCACAACTGTTGATGTCATTGTTGTCCTTATCATCGCACTCGTTATTGATGTTGAGGCCATTGTTGCCTCTGTTGATGATGTCGTTGCTGTCGTTGTCGTCCCATTCGATGTCAATGTAGAAGCTGTTGTTGCCGCTGATCTCCTCAATTGTTGTCACTGGCGATGTCGGCGTTAATCCGTCGGAGCAGCGCAGCAATCCTTCCTTCAGAGTAGCCCAACGATCCTGCCCTATCCTGAAGATGTCGTAGCATCCATGCATAAGCAGGCCAGCTCGATGCCAATCCACAAACTCGTCGAGTGGAGGAGCCGGCCCCTCCTCCAATTCCCAAATAACATCGAGCATGGCCTTCATCTTGTCCTCCAGCCATGGCGCCAGTGAAACCGTCCCCCCTACAGTCCCTAACTGACCCCCCTGGCTCGCAAGCAGAATATCCACGACCTCTTGCAGACGGCGACCGCCTTCTTCAATAATCTGCAGCCACTCCACCGCTCCACGCTGCAAGTCTTCATCAGAATCCATGTCGTTCATGTCGTCCCCAAAAACGCGCCGTCAGATCTCACAAAGCAGACGCCTCACGCTAACGTACCGTCTCCTAGTGTACGTGGCGGAATATCCACCATCGCCTGGGCAGATGACCAAGCGAACACCACAGTGACCAAGAACAGCTACTGTCCCAGTCCACGGAGTATGGCTGAGCCTCGCCAGCCGGTCCGTAGCGCAGGTCAGCGCTAAGCGTCAACGCGTTTTTTTAGGGTTGCCGTGCCTCCTGAATGCCACTTTCTGCAGCCTATTCTCATGCTCTCTCTTTGTTTTGTTGTGGTAATCTTGTCTGCATCCCGGTTGGTTTTGTCCCGTTATTCGGTCTATTTTGCAGCAGGTAGCGGTGCTTCATGTGGGACCAGTCATCCGGGGTTTTTTTATTGTCTTGGCATCCTGGTTGGTTGTTTCCCGTTGTTCGGCCTTTTGAGCGCGGGGCGGTGCTAGTATGTGGGAATCGTCATCCGGGATGGGTTATTTTTGGTACTTCTTTTGATTTCTTTGCAGACAAGAATGTTTTGACATCCTGGTTGGTCTTGTCCCGTCGTTTGGCCTGTGGGCAAGGGCGGTGCTTGCATGTGGGACTTGTCATCTGGGATCTGTTTTGTTGCCCCCTGTTCTGTTTTATTTGGCTGTTCCCTTCCTCTCTTCTGAAACGGTTTTCACCTGTCAGCAGTAGTGAGTGCAGATCCCAGGGCTCGATCCCTAGTTCTCACCTTACCTGTGTACAGTATCTATGTTGAACCCGAGTGTTTGAACCCGTGACCTGTGTTTTGACAGTTGTTGTTGTCTGTCGTAGGTCGGTGTAGGGTTAGGGGTTCGATCTGTAGACCTGTCGGATAGGAGTCCTAGTGAGTTCTAGAAGTCATAGCTGTAGCCTGTCCGAAGGGTCAAGGTCGTAGCTGCTACAGTCCTGAAAGGTCAAGGCCGTAGCTGCTACAGTACCGAAAGGCCAAGTCTACGGCCTTCCGGAAGGTCCCAGTAGTGGCCTTTCGAAGTTGCCCACGTTTAGGCTGAGGCAAGTGGGCAAGTGGTGAGGCAAGTGGGCAAGTGGTGGAGTTTACCCGTGCTGAGTCAACAGTCCCAGTCCCCAGTCAGTCCTGGTCCAGTCAAGCAAGTACCGCATGGGACTGTGTGCACTACGGGCATGGGAAAGGGCCAGACCAACGAGCTGCAGAAGTATAAATCAAGAGGCAGCGCCCAGCCATTCATTCATTCCTGTGTAAGCCATGCGGAAGCGCTGCCACAGCAACTTGTGCGAGGTGGTCTGCAGTGAGCCTGAGGACGAAGTGAGCGAGAGGGAGTTAACCATAGCGATAGGGTAGAAGCGGCCATAGCCGCCATAGCCGTAGGTGTGTGTGAGTGTGTGGGCAAGTGCTCAGGGTGTTGCGTGTGGGGTATCCAGGGTGATCCTGTATGCGAACAGCTGTGTTGAGTGAGTGACGAACAGAGGGTTGTGCAGGCGATGTGCCACCATAGCCATGTGAAGTGAACTTGTATCTGAGTGTGTTCTTGGTACCATATCTCTGAGTTCTGAGTGGGCGCCTGGCGCCAGTTTGCTGCACAGCCTGTTTGCATACGTGTGAAGTGTGAATGAATGTGAGTCTGATTGCACTGGTATCAGAGCTGGTACCCGCTGCCTCGCGCGCCATCGCCGTTGTAGCAGGAGGGAGACGCGCGCCATAGGGCGCCATAGCTGGAGTGCGCCATCCTGAAGAGGAAGTCCGCCATAGCTGCGCTGCGGAAGGAAGTGACGCGTACCTGCACAGAAGACAACGACGAAGAGAGAGAGAGAGAGAGAGAGAGAGAGAGAGAGAGAGAGAGAGA